ATCTGACTGTGGACAAGACACTACATGCAGTCCCTTTGATTTAGATGGATGAGAATATCCAGAACTAGAATAGTTAAGGTAACAAACATTTTGGAAGGGATATTAAACCTCATGTGTGATGCTCCCCAGGCGTTCCCAGGGCTGTGAGGCACCTGGCTACCACTGTCACGGAGTCCCCGGGCGATGCTCTGGAACTGCTCTCCACAAAGCCAGTCAGGACTTTGGGGAACCTTCTTTCCCATGGAGCAGACTGTCTTCACTCCTAGTCCCCAGCCAGCTTCAAACTGAATCCCCCTCCAGCCCCTCCTTCTCTGCTGAGTTCCTTTCCTGGGCCAGGAGGTCACCTGACCGCTTTGTTCTCCCACATCTTTAGCATCCCCTTGCAGGGGGAAAGAGTCTGGCCATTAGTTGCTAGGCGACAGAGGGTCGGGCAGAAACTGAGGCCCCCACCCAGTATTCAGAGGAAACATTAAGAACAGTCCCACTTCCTCACAACCACCTGCCCTCAACGGGAGACAGTCTTGTCTGTGCCTGCCAGGGGTCAGCTCCCTGAACCCGCCAGCCCCTGGCAGCACCAGCCCTGCCTGGAAGGCCCCACAGGCCTCACTCTCCAGGCACAGCTTAGCGGTAGGCACACACCAACCTCTGAGCGTCCCTCTGGAGCACTGAGCCCGTTCCATTGAGCACTCACAGAGCGCTCCCAAAGGACCAGAACACCCCCGCGTGCAGGACTCAGTCAGGATCACCACTCCGCTTACCACATACATAGCACTTAGACAACCTCTTGGCAGCATATAGTCATAGCTCTTCACATACTATTCGTATGTACCTCTCTCAGTGATCCTGATGGCCAGTGTGACACAGGCTTTCATGAGAGACCTTACATGACACTCTCTGGTGAACTAGTTTGCAGATACCAGACCCAGGGGATCCCTATCGCCTTTATGTACCCCTGTTCTCTCAGCCAGGTGGTACCAAGAGATCCCTGGGTCACATCAGACTTTAAAGTATAAATCAACCTCTATCAGAGATCAAGACTAGACCTAACGTGGAGGTCAGATTACCCCACACCTGCTGTTGCAGGATCTGACACCTTCCTCTGAAATATCTGGGGATGGCCATTGTCAGAGACGGAAAGCTGAACTCACTGGGCCTTGCAGATCCTAAGTCCCATGCTTTCTCGGGTATCTCTCTGCAGCGTAAGGCTAGCAGCATGAGTCCCAGGTACGGTGTGCTGCAGGGGGGGTATCAACCAGCAGCTGTTTGCTACTGGTAAGAGAGGAAGGATTAAGAGAAAAGGCTCCGGATCAAACAAAGTGGAACAAAAACAACACAGGTGTGTGAGGAGTAGTTGAAAATGAATTTCCTAGCCTGGGTGAGACCTCAGCCCAGCATCAGCGTGGATCATTAAGAAAAAGGACCCGTCCAAAATAAACACCTTGTGTCAACAGCACTGAGTTTTCCAACATAACCAATGTATCTGGATTAAGGAAAGAGGGAGGGCAAAGCACGGGGCTCCAGGAAGGAGGGAGGGCAAAGCACGGGGCTCCAGCAGACAGACAGCAAACAAGCGCATTGTGCTGATTCCCAGGCCGTGTGCAGAGAGAAATACACAACACACCTCTTGTAAGGAATGCACATGGCAGACTCGCAACAGAGTGAGCTAGCTGGCGGAGCAGGGATGACTGGACTCCTGGGTTCCATTCCCAACTCCTTCGCTGTGGGACCCTGAAGAAGTAATTTCAACTCTGTCTGTCTCCGTTTCCCTGTCTGCCAAATAATCACCATACTGATTTATTTCCCTGGGTGATCCTAGGAAAAGTTCTTTGAGCAAAGCATCACCTGAAGTAGGAGATAACGCTGGGGGTTAGAGCCAGGCTGACAGAGAGATCTTTGTCCTTTCTCAACCAACCTGTTCCCCTGCCTCTCCCTCCAATCCCACCACAGACACATGCAAGGCCTGATTTGCAAAGGCTCAGTGCACCCATGAATGTCAGTGCAGTCGTGGGTGCCCAGCCCCTGTGGAAACCCAACCCACCCACCCTCACGCGTTTGCTGTGGGAGGGCAATTCGTTCTGGGGTCACATTTAAAAGCAAAGCCACATGGGTTTGCAGTCGTGGACTTGTCCCTCTGGGGTGAAGAACCTGCCTGCAGCATGCAGCCGCCTGGTTGAGACAGGACACCTCTCACCTGTCTCCTTAGGAGTGAATTAGGGTGACCAGATGTCCCGATTTTATAAGGTCTTTTTCTTATATAGGCTCCTATTACCCCCCACCCCCGTCCTGATTTTTCACACTTGCTGTCTGGTCACCCTAGGAGTGACCCCCCCCCCGCCACAGACACAATGAGTGTGAAATTACACCAAATTCTCCACCTCACACCAAGAGTGGTTGTGCTGGTGTAAACAATCCCCACAAGCTTCAGGGCAGGAAAAATCCATCTTGGAGTCTCAGGATTGCACCAGTTTAACTAAAGGTGTGATTTTTAAACCAAGCTGGCTATATCGGTGCCAGAGCCCTGTGTGGACACTGCTAATTCAACTTCAGGCAGGTGTATGTCAATTTATCTTGTGACAGGAAAATTTTAGCTTGTGTTAATAATTTTACTGGCCCAGGCTAAATCCAATATAACTAGTTCTAAGATGATACAAGTGAGTCTACACATGGTTTGCACCAGTTGCACTAAATTGGTTATTAAATGGATGTTGGATGAATTGGTACAACTTGCGTGCAGACAAGACCTAGCCCAGTGAGTGGGATTGCCCCTCTTCCCCGGCTTGCGGCCCAAACAACAGACAGAAGAAGTTCACTCCTCCAGGCCGTAACCATGTTTGCAGCTGGCCGTGCAGCAATGGTACAAGCGGATGAACTCTGGGACAGGGCAGAGGATTCCGGGCATTTGACCCACAGCTCCGACAATGCCCTCTGACACCAGCAGGTGCTCCCCGATGCAGGGCGAACAGCGAGCCTGCAGCTGCAGGTGGGGCGAGGACCGAGGGACCCCTCCCCACAATGCCCCCGCAGGGACAGAATGGCGGCTGCGCTGGTCCAAGTGGCATAGTGCGACTGCTAACGCACTCCATTGAAATGGTTTTTCCAGTTGCACTCCACGGATAAATCCAGCACCGGTGCGACTTGTGTGTGTAGACGGGTCCTTATATGCATAGGGGGGGTCACAGGCTCTGATGATTGTTCAGGGCCAGGTTCCTCTGTCCCCTTGTTGCCACTGAGTGTTGTGAAACATTCCCAGGGATGAGACCAGCCCGTCCTGACCTCACGTTTAGGTGTGTCTGTCCAGGGGGCAGGCGGACGTGCTTTAGGGGCGCCGTGAGCATGAGGCTTGGGGGACACACTCACTGCAGTCTTGGGTCTGTCTGTGTAGTGCCAGTCCCCCTCCACTCCCCAATACCCCCAGCCCTGAGGGCAGCAGTTTGGAGGCCCCACCGGTGAAACAAATGTGGTGGGGTCCCAGCCGAGCTCCTGTCCTGTAACCCCCAGCACGACTGACCCTAAAGGGCCCCCTTGCTTGCAGTGAGGGGGGCAGGTGACGGGAGGGTGCGGGGGAGCAGGAAGAGTGGAGGAGACCTGGGGGGTGGCTGGGGGGACACCAGGGGCAGAGAAAGGGCAGTAGGGGAGATGGGGAAGGGGAACTGGGGATGTGGGGAGATAGCAGGGGAAGCTAATGGGGGCCTGGGGCAGGGCCAAAGGGGGGTGCCCGGACACTGGGTCATGGGGGAGGCTCCGCAGCGGGCGGTCCCGGGCTCGGGTCCCCGCACCGGGCGCTGCGCTGGGCCGGGGGGCGGTGCCGGGGGGAGGGACCGGCGGGGGCGGTGCAGGCGGCGGCCGGAGGGGGCAGAGCCGGCCCCGGAGCCGAGTCGGGAGCAGCCGCCGCGGCCGGAGGTAGGAGGGGGCCGGGCCGGGGTCCCCGCTGCGGGGCTCGCGGGGAGCAAAGTGGCCCTCGGGGGGCCCCCATCTCCCAGCAGCTGCTGCCGGGATCCGCGGGCGGAGCGCGGGCACTTTGAAAAGCCGGGACCTGCCCCAGCGCCAGCGGGCCCGGTTCGGCCGGAGCGAGCCCGGGCAGGGAGCCGAGCCCAGCCGAGCCCACACGTGCAGAATGATGCCTGGGCCGGGACCCGACCCTCTGGGTGTGAGCTAAGGGTGGGGCCCCGGGGGGGACTCGACCCGGCGGCAGGGCCCCGAGAGGTGCTGGGGCCGCAGAAGCTGTGGCTGGTTCGGGATCGGGCGGAGGAGGATCTTTGGCAGGGACCTGTCGGCTGCCCCGGCTCTGTCCATGCCAGGCCCATGGAGGGGGGGGTGCCCTGAACAGGACACGGCCTTGGGGGCTGTGTTAAATAGCATGAAGCCCTGAGTGCAGACAGGGAACTACAGCCCCCCCCCCCCGCCGTGGAGCAACACTTCCACCCTGCCCCTGTTTCCACGGGGAGAGAAGGGGTAGGGATAACAGCCCTGGGGTTAACTTCTGCCAGCTGACATGTGTCAACACAAACTGCCCTTGGACCGGAAGGTTTTTCAACCCGTTAAAGATGGGTCAGCTAACACAGGTTAAGAAAACCAGGGCTGGTTTCCTGGTGAAGACGGGGTCACGGCCCGGTTCACATGAGTTCTAACAGGATGGAGTTTGCCAGTGTAGACAAGCTCAGTGCAGGAGCACATGCTGTCCGAGCCCTGTGCAGACTGATTGCCAAAACTGCTTTGCCGTGACGGTTCTGGGGGGTGGCTTGGTTCGCGTTCCAACAGCTGTTCGTACTGGGCAGCAGGCTGCCGGGTGACGCGGGGAATTGCTTCGGACTTTTCGCGTGGCAGAGCCGCTGTCATGTGCAGTTTTGCCTTTGTAAGGCAGGGCTCTCACTTGGACTCCGTGCCAGCGCTGTACCAAGCCCTGGCCGGTGTCGCACACTCGCACAGCATTGGGCTGGCTGCCCCTTACCGGGCTGTGACCCGCATTGCTTGTTGTGTAACCTGTCACCGTTTGTTTACAGCATGCAGGAATCTGCTGCATCTTATTTCATTCCCAGCGCTGCCCGGGGAACACAACCAAAGCAGCTTGGGGACTTAGGGGCCACGATTCACAAACTCCAGCCGGGTGGGTATTTGCGTCTCTCCCTCCTGTTTTATAAACTCTGTTGGCTTGGTCTGACGGTGACATCTCAGGCGGTTCTGGTGACACCCCCTGCTCAGACCCTGAAGGCCACACGCCGTCGCAGGTGCTCAGAGTTGGAACCCCATGGATGTTTTTCCATGGGGAATGTGGTGCCAGATTCAGAATCAATCCTGACAATCAAGGCACGTATTTATAATCAAGGTGAATTAACGCTGGGGGTCCGAGTGGACCAGAAGCTAAATATGAGTCAACAATGTAACACTGTTGCAAAAAATGCAAACAACATTCTGGGATGTATTAGCAGGAGTATTGTGGCCAGTTCTCAGTGTCACATTTCAGGAAGGATGTGGACAAATTGGAGAGAATCCAGAGAAGAGCAACAAAAATGATTAAAGGTCTAGAAAACATGACCTATAAGGGAAGATTGAAAAAAATGGGTTTGTTTAGTCTGGAGAAGAGATGACTGAGAGGGGCATGATAACAATTTTCAAGTACATAAAAGGTTGTTACAAAGAGGAGGGAGAAGAATTGTTCTTCTTAACCCCTGAGTTCAGGACAAGAAGCAATGGGCTTAAACTGCGGCAAGGGAGGTTGAGGTTGGACATTAGGAAAAACTTCCTAACAGTCAGGCTGATAAGGCACTAGAATAAATTGCCCAGGGAGTTGCCATCACTGGAGATTGTTAAGAGCAGGTTAGACAAACACTAGCCAGGGATGGTCTAGATCAGGGGTGGCCAAAGTTAGTGACCCTCTGAGCCGCATACGACAATCTTCCGAAGGTCAAAAGCCGGTGCACGCCTGCCAGGCCTCGGGGCTTCAGCCCTGTGGGAGGCACTTGCCAGTGCTGAATCCCCTACCTCACCCCCCCCCCGCTGGGCAGAAGCCCCTACCCCACTCCCCACTGCAAGGGAGAGGTCCCGAGCTCCCCCTCCTCCCAAGTCTGGTAGGTGGAGAATGGGGAGGGAGAATGTAGGGGGTTCTGTGAGCTGCACTTTAACTGTAAAAGAGCCATGGTTTGCCCACCCCTGGTCTAGCTAATACTTAGTCCTGCCGTGAGGGCAGGGGACTGGACTAGATGACCTCTTGAGATCTCTTCCAGTCCTTTGATTCTTCCCAGCTTGGAAATAACATTGGCTCTGGACACCGAGGGGGCAGGCCGAGAGTCCTAGGTTGCAAGTGTTTATTCCCCGTCCGTTGTCACGGAGTCCCCGGGCGATGCTCTGGAACTGCTCCCCACAAAGCCAGTCAGGACTCTGGGAAGCCTCCTCTCCCATGGAGCAGACTGTCTTCAGGGCAAGAAGCTCACACGGCTTCACCTTCCTGGGTCTGACCTTGGAGCATTCAGCATATGCTCCTCCGTGCGCTTCCCACAGCGAGTCCGCCCAGGCGGGGTCCTGGGGAAGCCAGAGGGTCCTGCATGCACCCCCACTTCGCAGTCAGACGTGACTCTCAGCCAGCCAGTAAAACAGAGGTTTATTCAATGACAGGAACAGGGTCTAAAACAGAGCTTGTCGGTCCAGCGAACAGGACCCCTCAGCCGGGTCCATCCTGGGGCCCAGCGAGCCAGACACCCCCTGCTGCACTCAGCCCTAGTCCCCAGCCAGCTCCAACCCTGAAACCCCCTCCAGCCCCTCCTTCTCTGGGCTTTGTCTCTTTCCCGGGCCAGGAGGTCACCTGATCTCTTTGTTCATCTTTAGCTATCCCCTTGCAGGGGGGAAGGGCCCCAGCCATTTGTTGCTAGGAGACTTAAGAAATGCATAGGGGAAACTGAGCATCCACACAGTATTCAGAGGAAACATTAAGAACAGTCCCACCTCGTCACATCCGTGTACAGCAGGCATGGCTCGGGACACGGCTAAGCTGATCTATCAGGGGCCTGATAGAAGGAACTGAAGCTTTTTGGTGGAGGGACTATCTGCACTGTACCTTTTGGTCCCCACATTTTGACCCTGATCCTGCAACCAGACTCGTCTGCCTTTAGGGATTTAAGGCTTGTCTACACACAGCATTGCACCAGACTTTAAACTGGTTTAGACCTATGCCAAAAGACTGAGTGGAGAATCTTGGGGCTTGTGTTCAGAGCCTCTGACCATTGCCTGGGGAGCTCTCTCCCTGCACCCCCAGACTGATCATAACAGCCAGAAAGGGGTTTAAAACCAAACTATGCAGAAACCTTCTGGAGCACAAAACACAGCAGAGCCATTCAGAAATCTGCGGCTATGTTTCCAGCTGGAAAAGCCAAATCCCACAATCTCCCTCCTTCTGTAATAACCACAGGGAATTAGGGCAACAATATCAATATTAATGCTAAATAACCCCGCTCAGTCCTCCCGTGGGCTTCCCAGTTCCTCCCACCTACCCCGGGGCCATCTGGCTTACTTGCAAGCTCCTTTGGGCAGGCGCTCCGTCTGTATTGTGCGTCTTGTACAACACTGAGCACAGGGACGTGCTGATTACAACTTAAAACTGTAGTGCAGAGACCAGCCAAAGGGGGTAAGGGGCCCCTGGCTCAGGAAGCCGCCCCTGGCTGTAACAGGGTGATCTCCTCGAAGATCTCTGGGGTGTGGCCTGTGCCACCTCAGAGGAGAAGAACAGCCTGAGACAGATTGGGTCTGGCTGGCAACACTCCAGTGCTTCTAAGGAGGCCTTGGCAGAAGGGGGATTTTGTGCAAGGCAGGGGCAGGCGGACTAAAGGGGGCGTGTGTGTGTGTGTGGTGGGGGTGACGCAATCTCTGAATGTTGTTGGGGCCCAGGGATGAGGTGGTGGTGAGGACAGCAATGGCTTGTGCTCACCAGCTGAGCACAAAGCCTCTATTCTTTTTCGGGGGGGGGGGGGACGAGATTGGAGTGTCGTTCTAACAGCGCTCAGACTGCCTCCTCTAAACATCGGTCATTGAAGGGCTTGTCTTAGTGGTTCCGAGCTTTACAAAACAGAATTGAGCCGCAAACTGCAAAGCTAACGTTCCCTTTAAGGAAAACGGACCGAGACGAGTATTTTGTTTACAAAAAATCCCAACCGTGCCGGAGTTGCCGAGGGGCTTTGGCAAAGACCTGGGGGAGAGGGAAGAGCCCAGGGACGGGCTAGCAGGGGGCTCTGGGCACCGAGGGCAGCAGCAGCGTTTTCCTACATCAGCCCTGTAGAGGCGTGGGGTAGGGCAGTCAAGGGAAGTGTGCCGGGCTGCCGTGCCGGTTCCCTCTGGCTCCCGCATGGAGCTGAACAACCCTAGTTAACGTGCGGTTGGGCTGGGGCTGCTGCGGCTTGAGTTTCCACCAGTCTCTTGGTCTCATTTCCATGCAACAAGCGGCTCAGGCGGTGAATGCTCCGCGGTGGTGTTGGTTTGTCTGTGCGGTACCTGGGGTAACCCTGGTAACATGAGAGTGCGCCGTGCATGCAGACAGGGGACGTCATGCTGTAATGGCGATTCTGGCCCGCTGATCTCTCTGAAGCAGGCAGATAGTAGAGTTTAGACACAGTTCATTTAACACCTTCCCCCCCGTGCTGATGGTTTGTCCAGTTACAAGTCATGTAGGACTCCTCCTGGCGGGGCGAGTTACCCCAGGACTGCCTGGCCTGGGAGCAGCTGCTGGGGGTGGGTTTTGGAGGCAGGGCCGGTGCGCATAAGTTCATAGCTTCCCGGGCCAGAAGGGCCCCCCTGCATAGCTCAGCCCACAGACCTGCCCCACAATAGTTCCTAGAAAAACTGGTGCCTGCAGCCCTCCCTCACGGTGGCAAACAAAAGTGGAGGACGCAGGTGGCTGTTGCGGGGAAGGCTGTGTGCACACCGCAGCGGGGAGCCTGTGTTACCTGCCGTTTCACGGGGGCTGAGCCGCGCACAGGCTGAGGGCGTCTCTCAGAGGAGAGTTCGCCTCACCACACCTCACTTCTGGGCAGCCAGGCTCGGTGGGAATCCCCGGTCACAAGCCCCGCTCCTCAGGGGAACTCCAGGCTGACTCAGAGGGGGTGGGGGTGGGGTGAGTGGTGTCTCTGTTAGGCGGTACCGTAACTCCCTTGTGCTAGGCCCTGTACACACAAGACTCAGCTGCTGGCCTGGAGTCTCTTTTCTTCTTCATCCCTCCGTTCCCTTCTTCGCTTCTCACTGCCAGGTGCCAACAGCTGCACAGCCGGCCTGGGCACTTCAGCGTGGCCCAGGCCCACTCCGAGAGCCTTGGTTGTTTCATTACCCACCTCGAGTGGATTCTGTGCCCGGCTGGTGCCCTCGCACAGGGACTTTGCTACCCGAGCAGTACCGTCCCGTACTCAGGGGATTCTTAGCTGCTGGGCTGCCCAGGCCGACACAGATTCTGTAGGATGATCCCTTCAGCACAGGGCACTTCAGAAGTAACATCAATGCACCCCTGAAAATGCAGCCACCTCTGGGGAGGGGACGGCAGACTGCTGAACAGATGTGGGGAGAAAGGCTCTTCGGTCCAGGCAGCTGTAACCAACACCTCCACTCTCCCAAGGAGCCTAGTGTCCATTTGGAGAAGATTCAAGTGTTGTGGTGGTTTTTTTTTTTTTTAATATTTCAGCTGGAAAGGCAGTCTGGTGCCTGGAACTCTCCCCCTTGGCCATTGAGAGGCGAGAGGCTGGGTCCGTCCAATCACGCTTCAGACCTTTCGTCTGAAAGGTAGAGAACTCAGGTTCCAGTGCAGGAATTTCAAACCTGGTGCCTAGCCCCCTAAACCATCCCCTTCTGCTGGGATACGCGTCTTCTCACTTGGCTGCCAACTGGGCTCCTGGGAGTGGAGAGCAGCCCTTTCTTATGACTCAAACCGTTTTGTAGCACTGCCAGCCAGCTGAGCAGAAATGCCAGGCATCCGAGAACTAACTGCCCAGCCGTGAGCTGACTCATGCTGCAATAACCACAAGACGCAGTAACCAAGGTAGCAGTGATGCAGGGACACCCCCGAGTGCCCGTCTCCTAAGGGTGGTTTGAACGCTCTCGCTGGAGCTGCCCTGATCCCCCAACCCGCCGGTGCAG